AATCTCTTTTCCTGAAAAAACAAAATGTTTTTGTGTTGCAATTCATGCTGGACAAGTAGGCATATAGAGGTTTCTACCACAAATCCAATAAAAATTAACAATAAAACATGTTTTATCAGAATTTTATCATTTTTATCAGTAACTGAAGTGATCAATACTTAACCCAAAGTGTTTGGGAACATAAGGAAAGGAGGAGGGGATAGTTTGTCCTGAGACTATTTATTCATGGTAAGGACAAGATAGTAACTTAAGCAGGTTTATGTAGACATGTCTTTCAGTTTTCAACAGCAGACATGTATTTCAGTTTTCAACAGCTTGATCAGAATTGACAATAAATAACATTTTTAGTCACTTAGTAACTCTAAATAGTTGTTTTACAATTTCAACCCCCCTCCCCTTTTCCATTTGAAGAAAATTGTTTGGTGGTTGGATTACTAGAGGCATGCATCTGATAGTAAGATGCTACATCTGACTTGCATTTTATTTACCATTAAATGAGATTATGACTATTAGAGAGAGACATCAATTAGATCATCCCAAACTTATCACAAGTGAACAAAGTGATATATAAACCAATAATGTGTATCTGATGCATTTTTAACATCACTTGGCACATAAGAAAGATTTAATAATTGGAATTATCCTAAAATGTTGGCATTGATGACAACCGTGCATTAGAGATATCACACTAGATATTTTTAGTGATGTAAAATTTGGGTTTACAAAAACCCTTTTAATAACTTGAAAGAAGTCAACAACAATGTTGTCTATATCTAATGGGAAGTACCTATGATTCTTGTTTTTATATTTTATTTATGGAGCCATTTGAAGTTCAATCATTTGGATTACAGTTCCCCTTTAGGCATTTCTAATATTGAATGTGGTAAATAAAAAACACTAATGGGAATTCAGTAATGGCCCTGAATATTTGTTCCCAGTAAGCTTCGAGTTTAGGTTTACTATCATGTATATTGTGAATTTATAGTGTGTTCTAAACTAGCACAAGCATGGTCTACAAGCTGCTAAATTCTTTTAGTCTTTCAATATGTTAAGTCATAAGTTTACTGGTATATAAAGTAACCCTACAAGCAAAGTTTTGGACATTATGTTAGAATTACTTCGTTTGTCTCTGTTTGTAAGTGGTAACCAGTCAATGGCTGTGTGGTGGTCAGACGGATTCGATCACCAGTAGCCAGATAGCTCAGGTTGATGAAGCACCTGACTGGAGATTCAGGAGATCTGGGTCTGAGTTCCAGTCTGGTCTTTCTTAGCTTTCTCCTCTCCCCTTACTTTTGGTGCTGTGCCATGCCCTGGAAGTGACAGGTGAAAGACCTGCCAGAGAAGAGTCTTGGTTGGTGTTTTCAGGGGTGAAGACCTTTAAGGAGGGAGAAATGTGACGGTCAGATGGATTTGATCGCCAGTGGTCAGATAGCACAGGTCGGTAGAGCACCTGACTGGAGATTCAGAGGGCCTGGGGTTGAATCCTTGTCTGGTCCATTGCAGCTTTCTCCTATCCTGTTACTGTTGTAACCACAGAATATTTCAACATCATACTTGACAAAGTTGTTTAGACCAGTGATATTTTTTACTCAAGGTCATTTAGAAAAGGTCATAGTCAGAATTACTATGGGAAAATATTTGGAATTCCAGTATCTGACGTAAAAATATTTCAAGCTCTTCCTGCCTTAAAAATTACAAAAGATTGATTAGGATGTAAGGTGTCTTTCTAAACCTTTTACAAGGTCATTTACACCAGTTCAAGGTCACTGGGAGAAGTTATATTTTTTCTTAAATAAGCTTCAAGTCCTGTGTGCCTTAATTTAATTCTAGTACTTATTCATAGAACATTTCAAGTACATGGCCAATGTTAGATGCAGCATGTGGATATCTTTAATGAAATATGTCTTACATTTGCAATGAAAGAGCATAATAATTACTGTAATCATATTCAATCTGTTTTGACAACTTCTACCCAAATCTTATCTATATTAGTTTGCTTCAGTCAGTGATATATTGAGATTAAAACCCATAGTAGTAATTTTCAATCAGTGCCAATATTTGTACTGTCTTTATTTTATAGATTTTCTGGAATTTTCTTTTTGATTACATTGCATGGCCATCTCGAGTGTTTTTAGGCATAATCAGAATTATATCAGGCTGCTGTCTTGGAGAATATTATGATTGATAGAGTTGTTTGTTTCAAGGCAGGTTTCTTTTTTATGATGCTAGTTTTTCTTTTCAAAGCAAAAATGTCATCTTTCAGCTATCTTGCTGCATGATCAAGTGTAATAAAATTTTATGACAATAATTCCAAAACGATCATAACACCAAGTTTATACCTCCAAAATGGCGATCTGTACATCAGAAAAATATTATTTGGCCATTACCTCTGGAAATTCATCTCATGCAAATATTTTTTTTTTTTTATGAAGACAGCATCTGATAATTACTTGTAATATAATCATATGTCTGCCTACATCTCCACTGATTAGAAGGGAGAAAAAAAAACTTTTTTGAGATCAGACAGTACTGGTAATTTGCAGTGTCATAACATTAGGTAGATACTAATGATTTTTTTTTTTTCCAAAGACTTGATTGTCAACTAAAAGATATGATGAGATTCAATATTGGCATCTTCGATATAACGACAAGATAGTAGTAACTAGCAGATATATTATTGTAGGAAGTGAAATTAAGCCGTTTATTGATTGTTGTCTCTTCAACTAAATCTAATTTTGTTCCTTGTGATGCAGAGAGATTAATTTTCTTACGTGTCAGCATCGTAAGTATTAAAGCTGAGTTATGTGTCCATTATAGGACCTCTCTCAGACTAATCCATTGTAATACCTTATTAATGGGGTAAAAAAATCAATGGCACAAGATTAGACAAAAAGAAAAAGTTGACGGATTAAACATTACTGAGCGGGCAAGGACAAAAGGGAGTGAATAATGAAACAGATATGTTCATTATCTAATTGATCAGATAAAAAAAGATTTTACTTTTTTGTGGTTTTTTACCAGCAGTACTTAAAGTGTATTGATATATTAACAATGATGGATTTTAAAGAAATTTTAGCAATATTTTTTCTTTATTTTTTCCCCTGAGAGTTTCAAAAAAATTTAATGTTATTATGGATACAATGATAATTTTCTTTTCATTTTGGAGTAAATCTTCATTCAGAATTGTAAACATGGAAATTCATGCATGAGGATAATGTATACTAAATACAGGTATGCAATAAGAAATATTCCCCCTCCCACTGTGTACTAATATCATACATTTTTTATTCAGTATTAACAATACAGAATACAGTGCACATTGGTATTGCAGAATTAACCCCTACTTGTATGATTTTTGTTACTTATTTGTGTAAATATCCACACATGCAGTATATATATATATAAGTCTTGAATGCTTAGGATTTGCTCCAACAACTGATTTTATTTTATTGTGCATGATTTTTTTTTTAAAATTCTTTTAAGCCCAGGGAATTGTTGATTCATTATAATCTGTTTTCAATCTAATCAAAGTGGACATCCCTCAGGAATTTCTGGTGAAACCTAGCAAATCAGTTGCTGAAAAATTTATTTGCTGAATGGTTTCTCCAATCAACCAAAAACTTAATCTTTCCATGCTAGCTTAAATTGTCACAATATATGATTTTAAATAAAAAAAAAAAATTGTTTAATATTGAATTCACACAAGTGTAAAAGAGAAAAAAAAAAAAAAACTTCTGTCAGTAGTATCGTATTATATCTATTATGAGGAGTAGGGATTTTTTTTTTAAAAAGTTTTTAAAACTTTGTTTTTGAGTATTCAACAGAATTCAAGCAGAAACTGTAGAGATTATCTTTTTTGATTAGGTATGCGTATGAAAGTATAATACCGTAATATAGGCATATTCATATGAAAGCATGTCACAGGTGCACATAAATCTCAAAAAAAGAGAAAAATAAAAGAAAATTTGCAAAATCTAGGAGAGCTAGAACTTAAGATTCATTTCATCATCGTCTTTCTTCACTGTCATTGTTATCATCATCATCATCAATATTAAGACACTCCTGTAACTTACAACCCTCTTCCATTTAAGGAAGTAAATGTGGGGCATGTTTTTTTTTGTCTTGCCACATTAAGGTATTTTTTTCTGGAATTCAATGTATCAGCATACAGAGAACACATGTTACCTAGACTATAGTGTTTGTTGATATGCTGGTATATATATCTTTATTTCTATTCAGGGAAAACAGTCAGAGCATAAAAATTAAGCCCCTTAAGGTCGTGTTATGTGTTCCTATCTATATCTAATAGTCAGGGGTGGGTGGGATATCTGTGTTCAATCTACTATGAACAATCAAACAACTGTGTTTGTGTAAGTTTTACAAATTTCACAATTTTAGTGTCTGTCTTGTAGACTGGATGATATGGGACTTGATTCGTAAAAGGGTAATGCATGCATTGCTCTATTTTTCTCTCTCTTCCTCTTCGCCATGTCAAGATAACCTGGGGATGATGGGGAATTTTCTGCTTATTGTTATACATGTACTTTGTAGGTGGCATTGTGGCCAGGAAACATGAAAATGATAAATAAGCTCACTTTGGCCACTCAGTGACCATCAGCATGAAGTTCAGTTAATAACTATGGCCACTAGATTCTGTTCAGGACTCTCTGTTTAATTTTCCCAGTAGATTAAATGGAATTGGTGACAATACGTTAGATTTTATACTTGTTTGGAATGGTTAACACAAGCACAATTCCATATATCTGCAAATTAACTAGCTTTTTTGGTAAAAATAGAGGGCTACGGCCACTAATAAAAGGTTGTTGACAATGTCACAGTCTCAAATCAGAAAAATAGCAGGCGGGAAGGGATTTACACGATGATAGAGAAAAGATTGTCTGTCCACAATGCATTTACTGATAAATTATTGAATGCTTTCCATTACAGTGTAAGAGCATTCTCTGATGGACATTTTATGCTGCTGATTGAGAGCTTCATTATAAAGGCTACACTGATGCAGATTTGGAGGAGATTTTTGATGCAGAAATTATGCTCTGGAAATCTGCCTGCTTGGAAAATCTATTAAAGGTTAGTATTTTTTGTCCATAGCAGTTACAGATGGGGGAGGGAAAAAAAGAGAATATAATATTGTACAAAACATTCCAGGAAAAAAGTATCTATCTATATATAAATCTTTTATGTCCTTTTTTGATTAAAAAAATATAATGCTTGTACAAGCCTACAGCTAGTATATCTTTTGGTAAAATTCTGAATATTATTAAATGGTCTATTTTTATTTCTGTAATTTCAACTTCATTACTATTTTAATATGAAACTTAAAATAATTAAGTCAGAATAACAACAAAATTATTCATGTATACCAAAGTTCTGTGAACCAAATGATAAAAATATACTCGATATTTGAGTTGCATGCATCGACATCATTTTCAGAATGGGACCGAAAATTTATTTTTGTACCATTATTACATTCTTACTTCCTAAATATTAATCATGAGCAAATTTTTAATTATGTTATGTGGTTGTGTATTTGATCAGGAAAGATTGAGATCTGCATCAGTTTCAACAGCAAATAATATTTCATATTCTGTCAATAATTGCCGTCTGTGCAATATTTGCCTTGCTGCTCAGAATCCAGAAATTCTCTGTGTTTTACCAAATGATGGGATTTTTTAGTCTCCATGCTTTTCTCGTGGTGTCTACAATATTTCTTAAATTCAAGGTCCATTGATTTTTCTGATTGTCATTGAAAATTCAAAATGGTAACTTGAAGAATTATGCATTAGAACATGAGCCTGAACAATTAGACTTATGAAGGTGTCTGTAATGATGTCAGCTAAAAGTTACACAAATTATTGAATATTTCTGTAGATTGTACTGTCAATAATAAGTGGGATAAAGATGTTCAAAATCAACTAAATGTATTCATAATTTATGTCAAAAAATAGACATTGGTGTAGTTTTCAAGAGAGGGATTAAAATTTTTAATTGCAGTCAATCTTGAAAATTAGATACTTAAGGACATACACAACGTAGTTTGAACTTTATTGTCTTTTTCCCTGGAGTTGAAGAGTTCCAATACTTAAAGGAATTGTGTGCTACATTTTAATGTCTATACTTCTTCTAAAACAAGTTTAGATAAACAAAATATCTAGAATATATGCTTAGTAATTTTTGTGTAATTTTCTTTGAATTATACAAGAATTTTCATCAATTGATATCTTTTCAAAACCCCTGGTAATGCATGCTGACTTTTTGTCTACGAACATTTGATGGCACTATAATCTTAAATTAAGATTATCTTGAAAATTATCAGTAGGTAAGGTACGTTGCGTATGTCCTTAAAAAGATTCAAATAAAAATTACATTAAAAAAAAATTATCAGCCAACTTGACAAAGGACATTTTTTTTTAATGGAAACATTTGTTAATTATAGCTAAGTAAACTTACTTGAGTTATAATTGTTGCTCAGACAATTGTTCATTAATTACTTAATTGGCAGTGTATGCCTAAGGCAACAAATCACACCAATTCAGGTCACATAACTCTGTAAAAAATCAATAGCTCTTTTTTAACCTGTGTATATATGTGATCTGGCTTGGCTTGGTAGCTTTGTAATAGTAAGTTTTTACATCTTTTTATTTACTAAATCATTTATACTGCCCTCTTGAATAATTGAATATTTGCTTAACTTTGGGAGCAAGTGAACTTTTAATTAACCGGTATTATAACTGATCAGTCAGGTTTCAAAACAATTGAAAAATGAAATGTGATATTAGTTGTCTATAACAAAGGGTTTTTTTTTAGATAGGGACAGGCTGTATGATCTCTGAAATTATATTGTAGATGTAAAGGATGCATACAGACTCGGGAAATATGAGTCGAGCCGCTCTGAGTAAACACATGAACCTGGAGCATCTCAGCGATGAAGAATGCGAGAAGATCCTGCGTGTGTTACAGAAAGATTTCGAGCTTCGCGACAAGGAGAGAGAACGACTGCAGTAAGCATTTGTGTTGCGAACAATTTAATTTGACCTCTTTTTGCACAAATTTTTACTTTTTTAATCTACTGATCATGATATTTACGAGGAATTAACAAGAAGCAGTTTAATATGATCAATACCCCCCCCTTTCCCCAACCCAACACCCTCATTTATGTTGGGGAAGCCGAAGATTTTGTTCAGATAGGTCATAGACCAAAATCAATTGTTAAGACATTAGGGTGACATGTTGTTCTATGGAAATATCTAAAATAGTGTAATCTCAATTCATATTGGACACTTTCTTTACCTTGACTTTGTCTTGATGGCAGAGTCTTAACTTTACTTAAGTGCCAAATATGAGCCTCTGATGTTCCTCAGTACAAAGTAATGGATGGAACAAGAATGTACATTTCCAGCATCTTTGACTAGGACTTTTTTCAAATGGCCTTGCTTCAAGGTTACAACACAAACTGTTGCTCTTAAGCTTAGTACCACTTGACCAAAAAATGGAGCCTGCAAGTTGTTTACTTTAAAAGTTATGAACAAGATTAAAGTTGTGGATAGGTAAAAGTGATTGACCAAGAAACAATATGCCGTTTGATCTTGGATTTCACAAGCATAAAACTATTTCTTTGAATAAAAGTTTTAACATTAACAACTTAATGCTTTGTTTTATCCATGTGACAATGTGGCATCAGTAGAGAAATTGGTAATTTCAGACTTTATTGCAATTTCAGTAAAATTGAGGAAAGTTTAAAAGAGGAAGAGGAAAAAACTGAGGTGATAGCAGTCAAAACCAAACTAAACGAGGAGGTCTGTGTCCGATGCTGTCAGAAGTTTGGAATCATCTTCAATCGGAAGCAGCTGTGTCTTACCTGTAAACACTATGTCTGCAAACGTTGTGCCGTCTACAATGACAATGAAAAGGGCTACACCTGCCATGCCTGCATCAAAGAAAGGTGATTTTTTTTTATTTTTTAACTGCTCTAGATAATTAACTTCTTGTGAATTAAAACATATAAATCATGATAATGTTTCATATAAACTACAGGCATGTGTTACATGAAATGCAAAAGTGCAAAACCGCTGGTTTTATCTATATTTAGAAGCTTTTTCTGTTGGTTTGTTAACTATTTTTAATTAGAAAAAAAGAGGGATTAATTTTGGAAGTTAATGTGTTGAAAGTATAAGCTGATGGTTTTAGTTGATCTATGTAAGTGTTATGAAAGTTATCACTTCAATTATTTCCCCTAGGAAATTCAATAAACGGACTGATATTAAAAAAAAAAAAAATCTATTTTTCATACCACAATATCCAATATCACTTGTAAAAATTCTCTTTTTTTATTATCATTACTTGTCATTCCAACTATTGTGTCCTACTTTCAAGCATGCTATTATTAATTTTATTTTTCAGTAATAAAAGGTATTATTAGATTGCATTGTCTACATTAATGATTAGAATGTGTGAATAGATCTGATAACTGCAATATTGTAGTGGTATCGGTTGTTATTGATTAGAAATTTTAGTCATATACAGAAATTGAGTTTTCAATTGTATTATTATGAAAAGAACGTACAGTAAAAATTGTTTTAAAATTGATTTATATTTTTAAAATAATTTTGGAAATGATGAATATGAACAACATACAGTAAAAAGGGGTAGGTGATGGTGGGGGGAGCTTTTGATATTTTGTTTGATTGATAATTTAGTGGATTAATTACAAAAAATTGTAAGTAAAATTTTTTTAATCTCTATAAAAATCAAGAAACAAAGAAACAAAAAGAAATCCAAAAAAGTACAGAAATGCATGCATTTAGTGCAAATTATTAGACTAAGTATAAAAAATTAAAAAATATAATGATACCAATTTTGGGCTGTGAGTTATGAAAAGCATATTTCAGCGTAAAATCCCACATAATTTCTAAGGTAGTATATAAAGGGAGAAAAAAACCAACTCAGAATCATATGTCATAATTTCTTCAAAAAAAAAAACTTCTCCACAAACATACTTATTGTAAATCATTTGTATACGTCTAGAGCCAAACTAGAGGAACAGGAGAGGTTTGATATATGTTTCCCTGGCTAATGTGATTAACTCCTTTTTCTGTGCAGAAAATTACTGGGGGCTGTTTTCGCTCATGCATGGGGAAAGATTGGACTGGATCCTTTTAAAATCAAATTCTCTCTTGCCGTAATCAATGGCTTGTACACTTATGGCAGTCAGCTTCTATTGCTTCATTTACACATTTCATGGAAGCCGCTATTGGTTGATTGGTATGCTCTGTCTCATCTCCTGAGGTGCTTTGTTATTCTGTAAAGTCGTAGTAGGCAGATTGCCTACTTTCTTTTGGGATGGGGGGAATAAGCCCTTATCTTCTCTAACCTTACTATCATGTTCTTAAATTGTTAGGTGATGCTATCATTTGGTATTTAAATTTTTCTTGCTATCATGTCTAACAGTTGATTACTAATTATTATTATGGTCCTGCTTTAAGGTTCATAAACCCTCTGCTCATTCATATAAAAGTTTGCTTTAACCGTTATGACTTTCCAAAAGAAATGTATTTTATAGTAAAATACAAACAATTATAGTATAGCTTGCAAGGCAAAATTGGACAAAAAAAAAAAAACACTTCAACTTGTCAAATTTATATAGGAATAATAGACATTTATGTCTAGAGTTATCTCTCTTATTAGAGTATTGATGAACCTTAAGATATCACTTGGTCCATCTATCTGTCTGTCCATCCATCAACACTGTTACATGATGTATAACATGAGTACCTATCAATTTACAGACTTTATATTCACTACGTAAATGGAAGATATTTAGAGGGAGACAACTAGATCTTTTTGGGGTCATTTGATCAAAGGTCAAGGTCAAAAGTTCAAATTAGATACCATTATTATAACACATTTATGTGATGCTATCATCTATTTTTCATCCTATGGACTTCTTACTTTACATATGGAGGAGAATTGTAAGAGGAAGACACTTAAAATTTTGAGGTCACTTAGTCAAAGGTCAAGGTCAGTGATTGGGATTATTGATATGACCATCATTATGCAATTACTTGGACATTTTGTAACATTTAGACTTCATATGTAGTGTATAGATGAGATTGGTTTGGAAAACTCACCTTAAGCTTTCAGAATCAGCTAGTCAAAGGTCAAGACTCTTAAAATAACCATTGTGAAGCAATAATTTAATTGGATAATTTTTTTTACACTTAAAAAAATATTTTATACCTAAACAATAGTAAGAGGATGAACCTGTTGATTTCATTCAGGGGTCGAGATCTAAATGGTTTATTTTCACATGATTACACACTTTTATATGGTACCAACAAATTTATATTTCAACATGCAGACTTCTATTCATTACACAATTAGGAGATATTGTTAGATTCCGAGGCCACTTTCTCAATGATCAAGGTCAAAAAGTTCCAGATTACTACAGGACCTGTATGTCTGTCCATTTTCTAGTTTCTAAGACTTTTGGTTTTGGGATGAAAGGATTCTACAATTCCTAAAAAGAGTGGGTTTATTGAAATGTTTGCCATATCTATTAACAAAATCGGAATATATGGTTCCTTGACTTTGGGTAAGGTTCATTTATATTATGTCATATTATAGGATTAAAAATTGTATGAAATGTAATGTATACATGTATATGTTTTCAATTCTCTTGATTGAAAGTTGAAAAAAGGGTGTAATGGATGTATTTAAATTCAATTTAGAATTATATATTCACCCCAATTGATACTACTGCCATTATATGTAATCATATCCCAGAATGACTGTAATCAAGATGATCAATCTATTTGTGAATTGTCTAAGGGTAAGGAGACATTAAGGTGTCAAAATGCCTTCAGATTAATATATTTATACTTATACATGTATATCATGGACTTGAAGATGGTCAATATTAGATGTATTTTTCATGTTCATGCTAAAAATGTAAGAAATGTAACTGACAGTTTTGGTTTTCTTGTCGTTGTTGCTTTTGTTTTGTTTTGTTTTGTTTTTTTTTTTGGGAGGGGATACACTTTTTACAAGAAAAATCTCACTTTTACCTATACACCATATTTTGAATATTTACCAGTAAATTTTGATGAGTAATCATTAGAATCAAGAGCAAAGTAGCTGCGGTAATCTTTTTTTTTGTACTTGATCATAAAAATGCAAAATTCTCTATATCAAATAAAAAAATAATTTCTTGCAGGGAGTTGAAGCTGAAGTCTTTTGAATGGTTTTACAACAATGTCAGCAGCAAATTCAAAAGATTTGGGAGTGCCAAGGTAGTGCGGTCTTTATACAAACAGAGGGGAGCAAGAGGCCGAGCTTATCATAGTGAGTATAGAGAGAAAAAGGGGGTTGGGGGCAACTCCTTTGGGTAATATATGAGAACTCAGAAGGGAGATAACTCGATCTATATGTAGCATTTATTTTTAATCTGCAGAGAGATTTCAGTGCACATCTTTTGTGCAGCAAAGTACCGGTAACTCTCAGATTATATAAATAAGATGCAAGTCATTCATCTTTTAGTCAAAAAAAAAAAAAAAAAAAAATAAATAAAAAAATAAATTTATAAAAATAAATGCCTAGTATAAGTTAAGGTTCATTAATTCATTCTTTAAAGATTCTTTAGAAAGCTGTCAAAAGATCTTGCGAAATGGAATTTTCTGATTGAAATCATAGGTTAGATATTTAATAAAATAGTTGAACTTGGATAATACAGTTGTCCTTTAAACAACCCTTTTCTCTCCATATATAGGGCAGGAATAAATTCAGTTCATTTTTACATATTAAATGACTACAAGGTAAATATCAGTAATCATAAAAAGATAATGTAGGTCAGTTAATAAATGTCGAAGGTGATCATCATGTTTATGTGCTTTTCTTTTACATAATAATGCATATTCATAGGGCATGTATATAATGTATAATGCAGTATTATTTCTTCAGTAAATTCTTTTATCCTTAAATGTTGTGTATGTTATACACGTGGATCAGTTTTTAAGTATTAGAAATGTTATTCACCCCTTCATTTTTTATTTTTTTAAATTTTAATTTTTTTTTTTTTTTTTTTTTTTTTGAAAAGTGGAAGTTGTTTTAATGATTTTCAAAGAATTTCAAAATTGAAAAGAAGCCTTGAATATTCACATGTAAACTGTCAAGGCATGTGATGTTTACTAAGATGACCTTGGTTGACTATGTATGCCTGTCATGTTTCCAATGTACACACACCGTGAAGTGAAAATTATTTCAGAATCACTGTCATTAGGATAATGTATATGTTTCGGATCCTCCTATTCGCTTTGAATTGTCTTGGAGAATTCTAACTTTTCTGATCACCTGACAAGGGATTTAAAAAAAAAAATGGGAACACTTGAAATCAATGGCAGAAAAAATTTCTTTTATTCAAGATCATTCACATGTAAACAGTGGTATAAATATGCAATTTAGTTGGAATAATTCGCTGCACACTTATATTGATAAGTAATGGATTCATTCACTGTTTGATTTTTGTGGGTTATAAGGTTAAAGGCCTTTTTTCCCCAATGGACACACCTGTAAAAACAGCTGTTTGGGTAGACATCTAGAGATCTATACCTTGTGTGTGAAATTGACATGGAGTGATATATTTCTTGTGTGTGAAATTGACATGGAATGTTATTAATTTCTCGTGTTTGCCTGCTGCGATGTCAGGTGATGTTCTTACAGAATATAACCTGTGGAAGCGACTTTTTGGTAAATATACTTTGTGATGATATCGGGCAATGTTTGGCACATTTAACTTTGAATCACCTTTTTATGGGCCACTGTTGAAATTAAATTTCTCATGTTTACCTCAGTTGCTGTTTGTTCCCTTCCTACCTGAGATTTTAGAAATATAGATTTTTTTGCCATACTTTTCTCACAAAAAATGTGAAAAAATTCAAATTCACTTGACAATGTAAGTGTTGAAATCGAAGTGTGTGTCACATTTAGTTTCTTTGCTTTTTGTTTTTTGGTTGTTTTTTTTTTCCAATATGCAATAGTGTCAAGACCAAAAATTTGAAGTTTCAAAACAGTTTACAAGTACTTAGTTACAGCACATAATTAAATTATTAAATTTTTAATTTCTAGATTAAAATCTTGAAATACCAGTGAAAAAAAAAAATATCAAACTGTGCCGCATGCACAGTGCCATGTGCATTTGAGTTTGAAAAAGGACAAGTCAATTGATATATATTATACAATGAATAATATTTTATTGTTTGCAAATCTTTTTAGAATTTTAGGGTTTATAAGTAAAAATTTGCACTATAGTTCTATCTGTGTTGCTGAAAATCATATTTTTGATGTCAAAATCATATTATTTTTATGTTTTTATGAAATAAATTTATTGTATTTATTCATGACACAGGTTTTATTTTTGTGTATCATACTACAATCATTGATAGAGAACTTACGAGTAAAAAAAATCATATTTCTCATATCTATTTTTGATGAAAAAAAGATTACTAGTATTATAGTTGAACCTTAGTATCTCGAACACAGATATCTCGAATACCATAGAGATCAAGTTCGAAATAATGATGTTTGACTGTATATTTATTCATGACACCAGTCTTAATTTTTGTGAATCATATTACATCAGTTAGTTAGAGAAATTCTCATTATTAATGAAAAGACCTTTACTTTTATGAGAAATAATTTTACAACAAAATAATTTAAGCACAAAAATTGAGCATTACTTTGGATTACAGCAGATTAATCTTTTTAAAATGTAATTTTTTTCCAATATTGAATTGAGATTGGTGCATATGTTCACTGTTATATTGAATTTTCCTTTCAGCTGACAATGAAAGTGACACAGGATACGACCCCAGCTTTCTGGCTTCTCTGAGGGCTGGGGGTAGGGGGGTTGGAGAAATTTCTGACCCTGAGGATGGGAGAAGAGAAGAGGAGGAGAGCTTGAATCTCAACAGTGATGGGGAAAAAGGTCAGTGGTCAGCAATGGTCCAATTTGTTTTAAAAAAAGATCTTTATTAAAAATATTTTTCTCTTGACCATAGATCATTGATTTGAATTACTGTTATACATGGACAGTCAATTGTATGCATAATAGATTCAGTCCATTGCCCTGGTCAGCTATCCTTTAAAAGAAAAAGAAAAAAAAGAAATCGCTGTTTCAAGCTCTTTTATCATAAATCTCTTGCGAGAAGGAAAATTTACTGTTATGATTCATCCTTCAGAATTTTAAAAAAGGCTGAAATTATCTCGAAAAATATAAGAATGATGACAAATTTTTTAAGTCACATGTCCGTTATGAAAGGGGCACACAGCTGATTTGTTCACTTTTAGGCGAAAAATCCACATTCTTTATAGGTCTTGTGCCAAGCATGTGACAGTTCATTTTTTTCCCCTACACAGATCATAGTGTAAGATTTCACTTCTTTCGGTAAAGAGAGATATGCTTCATCATGTGTAAAACATAATAATTCAACAAGAAATGTCTGCTCCTTTATAATTAACATGGTTGTAGACTTTGGTTTTTGAAAATTTTCACAGAATTGAAGTAACTTAATTCTTTTGCAAGAATGGTTTTGGATTAATTTATCCACAGGCCTAAGGAGGAATGGATGAGAGTTATAGCATGATTGTGAAAAGGTCTCATTCTTTGAAAAGTTTTGCTTTAATTCTCTTAATTATTCAGCAAGCTGAAATTAACCACCACTTCACCAATAAAATAATTATGCGCATTATTGATTTTTTTTTTTGGTATTGCTGTAATGTAGTTTAATTATAATTGGAGAAAAATACATTTTATATCGTTGTTTGTTGGATATATTTAGAAGAATACCTATGAAAAACCTAGATGAATTTTTAACAGAACAAAAGTAAAAAAAAATATTAGGAAATTTGAGGATTAACCATTTGTGAATTCAAAGCTTTGCACAATATACAGGAATGTCTGATTTACACAAAATGTTGCATCTTGATCAATATGAGAAGTGATCTTCTTGGGTATTTTAAGTTGGAAATGTATAGCATTATAAATCTGCATAAGCCTAGTGCTAGATCAAACATACTACCAGTAAATTCAAATATAAAATTGTTATTGCCTAAGTTTCAAACTTCCTCCAGAATTCACTACCATTATGTACAGTTGAGATGCAGAGGCCTATGGGTAGTATGTCTCAGTTGGTGACATGATCTGTTACCACTCGGGGTGCGTCACTCTGCCTTTTCTCCCACTTACAGCAGTGGCGTTTTCAGACCCATTTTCATAATTTTTCTGTTAAGTTTTACTGCATAAAAACAGAACTTAAGGAAAAGATAACTCTTACTGTAAAATGAAAGAAAAAATCAAAGAGAATTAACTCTTTTCATAACTTCATCAATTTTAATAAAAAGATTTGATAAAAGTTTTTCCCAACAGTATAAATATGGGAATTTTTAAAGAATTCATTCTTAAATCAAAAAAAGCATTTCTTAGTAATTTTATAAAAAATGATAATTTATTAATAATATTTGGATATATAGAAGGAACATTTTGTACAAAAAGTGTTTCCACTAAATTATGTAAGTAATCTCAGATTTCATAATACTTACGATAGTACAATTTTTTCCACACTTTTATAAAAGTAAAGTTTTTAAGCAAATCAGTCAGCTTATTGTATTTTTGGGATGTGTATAGCATTATAAATGCAGATGGTTTAATTTCTTATTTACAAATTACATTCACTAGGAAATATATATAATATCTAATTCTCAAGCAGTTTACAGTAATCTGGTGTATAGAAAGTAATATGTGATAAACTTGTATATTTTTACATAATCTTAGCATTTCCTTACCACCCTACAGCCTAATGGGCTTTCTTGTATCTATTTGTATTGGGGCCCCAGGAGTGTGTTAAATACCTGTGACCTTTAACCCTAGTGATGTCATCCAGGTAAAAATCTGCTGCCATTGAATCATGACTAGAGATATTAATAAACCTAGTAGTGGCAATAGATAACACAGGTGAAATAAAAATTGAAACAAGAGGATGGGAGAGATATTACGTGGAGGATAATTAGTTGAATAGAAAGTTTATGGTTTGTCGACAGTAGACCGTGGTTGAATAATTTCAGAAGAATGAGGAATTTGTGGAATATGGAGAAAGTTATGCACATCTGTCATTCATTGTCTAACCTAGGATGCTAAGCATACTTATTCCACTTGAGTGAAATCTTCAGAACATTTCTATTTTCTCTTTTGAATGGAATTATCATTACTGAATTGTTAATTCTGTGGGAGAGCAAGACCTGTTTTTAATTTTTTTTTCCTTCTGAAGACATTCAAACTTTTTTTTAAAAGTTAGTGAAATTTTATTTGAATTTAAATTTAAGGAGAGTGTCAACTCATATTCAGGTGATCTGTGTTATCTAAAGAACATATCAATGTTTTTGTTAATAATTGCAACTGAAATTAATCCTCGGCATGGGATAACTTCATTTTTGAAGATTTAAAAAATTCATTGTGAAGTGACTGGGGTTTTTGGAGGACCCACTCCGCTTATTGTACCATGATTCGAGGGAAACGGGAGGGACAAGGCTATGCCTCCTGGTTCATTGGACTAGATAATGGTAAGATTGATACAGTTAATGCCATAAAATTGGAATAATTATATCACTTTGTAATGATTGAAGATATTTTCTTATAGATTGATTCTAAGTAACGTGAAAAAAAAAAGATTACTTCAAGAGGGGGAAAAAAAGGAAAAACATATAATTTTAAAAAGTTTCAGAAAGGGTTTTGAAAAAAGTGTTGAAATTTTATCATAGGAGAAGTTAAGCTAATTATTGCTGGTTCATTTCATTCTTGTCAATTTGGTTAAATGTACAATTTCTTTTTAAAGAAAGAAAATTGTCACATCATTCCATGTTCCTGGAGAAATTAAATCTCTTGACTAAGGGGGATGTGAAGATAATCTGGCCCCTACATTATATGGTTTTCACTCTATTACAATTGGTTAATGGTCCTTTGGACAATCACCTGAAACTCCAATTGTGTTTGAATATAATAGAAATCTGGAGAGACACTGAATGGATTGTGTAAGGCAAAGGGGAGAAAAAATATTTCATTTGTCTTCATTTGTGAGCAAAATGAGATATTTTCTTTTTTTTTCATGTTTTTTCTGCATGATCTTTCTTTTACAACTGTCAGGAACTGATACTTGTTATTTTCTTTCCCCTTTTCATTTTTGGCATTTATAATTAGACAACAGAATTTGCATATAACATTTTAAATTAGTATTTAATTACATGGAGAAATTTATGGTGAAATTTTAGAAAAAAATGAAAGGACTTGCTTAATGCACATTTCTGCAATTTGCATATATAACATGGAAGGATCTACAAATAAGAAAAAAAAAAGAAAGAACATATTACCTAGTGAATTTCTGGAATTGCATATGCACATTTAACAGTCTATATTAGTATATTTAATAACATATTGATTGATTTAGTGTGAATTAAAAAAAATGAAAGAACTTGGTTAATGCATTTTTAAAGAATATATTTTAACTGTTGATCATTACAAATTTTCCCTGGAGCTATTAATTATAGTACTTCAGACATGATGAAATTAACACTATAACAATATTGATTTGGGCCAATCTTTCCAATAACACACCTTTTAAGATTTTATGTCGAGTTGTGAATGCTTAAATCTAACGGATAATTTTTTGTGCAAATAGATTGGTCCAACAATTACATTGGTCCAACAATTACATGGAACAGAATGCAGTCGTAAGTTTGGGGCCATTTTGCTTACAAATTGACTTGCACAGCGAGGATTTGAATTTTTTTCTTACAATCATTGAACCCCCATTTTGTCGTATGAGTCAGGTATTGATTTTTGATCCCACGAACAAAACAAAAGTAACAGATGGCTGGGCTAGGTTCTCAGGATATCAAATACCTAATTCCTACAATTGTGCTTTGAACTAATACAGTTGGGTATAGACCTGGGTTAATACTTGAATAAGGCCCATCTTTATATCTAGTCCTTAATGTAGTGCACATTGAAAAAGGTGAATCAGTTGCATTAACACATAGAAACTAATATTATCACTGATATGCAGTGATAATGTACGATAAGTCAGACGAGAGGTTATAAAAATATATATACTGTCATAAAATCTGAATTTTCAATGAGGGACTATTTGACAGTGGCGAGTTATAAAGTGGTGAATTGGTGCTAAGGAAAATAAAGATTTGCATCAAGTTTAGATTTATGGACCAATTCTTACCTCATTGCTGTGGACATCAGATGTTGCTTAGGACTGTTTAAGTGTATAGTTATGTAAGCTCGTAAATATTTATGAACTTTCGAAACTGCTCAAAATTTTTAAGGCTGTCATCGAGTTGATAAGTTTTCATAATACATGTACTAGTACTTTTGATATCATGTGTCTTCTTAGGAAAATTACAAGAGATATAAAAAACAGTGGTCATCAAAATTTGTATTCTCTCTATTGAAGAATTTCTTTACTGTACAAGGGATCCCCTAGCAAAGACTTTCTTTAGGTGTTTGGCTATGAAATGTATGCAAATGCATGCTTTGACCATTGGGACATGATACCTTAAATTGTATTATAGGGTATATAGTCACAGATTTTACTTACTGCAAAGTTCATCATGCATATCAAAGAATAGCTGCAAAGTATGTGTAGGGTTTTCTCAAGACAAGAATAGATTTGCTGGAGTGCAAAAAAATGTTCTATAAGTGTCCTTGTATGCATGCTTGAGAGGAATGTATTGTTATGGTAACCTTGAAGTTTTCTCAAACATGTGACCAGAGTAGTTGATGCTGTTTTCTTTATTTATTGTCCATAAGTAATTAACAAACCAGTTTTGTGGGGTCAGTTGCTTGGTCTGGGCAGTGACCTGTTTAGTTCTCCAAATTAAGTCCCCAAAATAAATGCATTTTAGTTTAATGTACGAAGTTAGTTG